CTCGTTTCTGTCAAACTCCTTGCTCGCTCCATCCTCAGGCAATATCATCACATACGGGTATACTATATTGTGAACATCTGACCAGGCTACTGTCGATAAAATAAGACAATCGATCGCATCATACATCAATACTGTGACGTCTAGGAAACCGTAAAGATAAGATCAGACACACTTTTTCACACAAACTGACAATCTTTGACACATCCTGACAGATGATATTTTCACCAGTTCCAGTGAAAATAAAAACTATAGATTATTGCAGTGTTGCTACGGCAACACAGTGAATTGGAAAATAGTGTGCTGATTTGGAATCCACATCTCATATCCGCACACACGTTTGTGCAAAAAAATATGTGACCCCTATTTTTGGTTACCGGTGTGGTGTCCCATCGCAACTAGACATATGTACGTACCACTTGAGATTCAGAGAATAAAGTTGAACGAAATCACAGATGGTGAATGTTTGGATTAGTCCATTCAGTTGTTTTTCACAGGCACCGGGTACTGTTGATGATGTTCGGTGATGTGGATTTCACTCCTTAGAAGATGGGAAATTCCCCACCGTGTGTATGCACTGGAACGGGAGGAGTGAAACCCATAACTGACAGCATCAACAGTGCCTGGTGTCTGTGAAAAACCAAATGGGCTAATTCAAACACTCACCATCTAAATTGATCGAACCATTCGCATTAGATGATAACCATTGACCGTGCAGCTCATGGGTAAGGGTTTGAATTCCCAGCCCGAAGAATCGCTGTTTGAGTCCTGACAGGGACACAAAAAGTACGTAGTGCTGACGAGCCCCGAACAGAACGAAACATCCGTCCAGTGCCCTTTGTTGAAGGATATCTATGTGTAAATAGTTCCATTTCGCCTGTTCGCCTAGCTTGACAAACGTTTCATCACCAGTCGAGGTCACATCATCAGTGCGTGCGAGGTGGCTAAGCTCGGCGAACAGGCGAAATGGAATTCGGGAGGACTGATACCCAATACCAGACCAGGTTAAACTATATAAAACATGGAGTCTTTCGAATGAGAATGAGCGCGGATTGTGTCTTTAGGACAATCTTATACAATCATGATTTACACAAAAGTCAGTGAAAAATTGCACAATAATGTATACGGGAGGGAGTAATAGTTGGTTGGCTTGGTATTGACTTACTCGCGATCGAGAACAGGGCGATTTTCTACAAGTCCACCGAGAAAACGGACTGAAGAAGACACTCATTGACACACGAACCGGGTACTGTTGATGATGTTCGGTGATGTGGATTTCACTCCTTAGAAGATGGTTAATTCCCCACCAGTTGAATACATTTTTAAATACGGTGGAAATGTTTGTGATAATCCAAACATTCATTGACTAAATTGATTGGACCATTCGTACAAGGTAATGATCGTCCACCGTGTAGCTCAGACATAAGGGTTTGAATTCTCAACCCAAAAATTACGCGCATTGCTAACAAGTCTCAAACAGGACAAAACAACTGTCCAGTGCTCTTTGTCGATTATCACCAAACATTTAAAAACTCACAGATATCGTGATAGCGAGTCTCCCATTCATTTCGTCTGTAAGTTTTCCTATCACCCCGTTGTATCGTCCTTAGACAACAACATTCAGGCTGAAATGAAGCTAATCGTGACACGTGTTGGGGACGTGAGAAATGGTTTGATAACAGATAAAATCGACAGGTTTAGATATTGATCGTTTGGCGCAGCCCAACGTTGGTTTATCGAGCTGATGCGGGCTGTTAATATTTCACGATTGGAATAACTTCGATCAAGAGTCATCGGTTTACAGTTCACAGAAAGATGAGGAATGTCACCAATTTTCTTTGTTTCGTGTACTGATACGGATGTCGAAATTTGAGACATGATATCCAGTTTGTGCTAGAAAGAATCGATTGTAAGCGCAGAAAGAACGTGAGTTGGAAGGGAATTTCATGTAGTACCCATTCTCAGGGCAAAATGAATGATGCCGGCATTCTAGTCGATAGTTTTCGAGTACTACTGTGAATAAGTGCCTCCTCAGGTGAGTGTTGGGCAACAAAACGAACAGCGAACGAAATGGACGATCAGGTGTCTGCACTATTTGATAAATCAAAATCAAGTTCCCTCGAATTTGGCGATACTGTGTGGAGTACAACTCTAATGATTCCAGTCTTTCCACATGCATCTTACTATACAGTACCTTGACTATTTTGGTCGCCACTCTTTGTGGACGTTCCAGAATCGTACGATCGCGAAGCAGCTGGGGATTTCACGCTTTATTCGCCTAAGCAAACCAACATGTCTTGCAGCAATGGATGATGCTCTGGAGCAGTTTGAAAGACAAGGAATCCAAGATGCTTCTCAATCGAGGCATTCAGAAGTTGTCGATCTCCCAGGAAATACGGAAACCAAGTTTTGGTGGCGAAGGAATACGACCGTACATTTTGATGCATTGAATTCGATGTCATTTTTGACGCGACGTTGATAAGCAGCATTAAGTGTGTTCCCTGAAATGCCAGTGAGTAGTCCTCGGATTTTGACACTGTTTTCCATATTTTTGCATCGGTTGCAAACACTAACATTAGTGAGCGATTAGATAGTTAATGAAAACTAGAAAATCTTTAGGGCCAATGTAATATTCGGAATAGTAGTGAATTTAGGAATACGAGAATCCGTACGGTACTGCTCAGAACTGAATTGGGTCCAACCCGAACTGCGGACACCAATGAAATACACGAGGAATTGAGAGCAGCAAACGCTTATCTTTATTGAAAAAAATTAGTTGCATATAATGCGGAACGATTGTCACTGGGGGTGCGGATGTTGATGTTGGTGTGTTTCCGAGCTGTAAGTGTTGTTGTTGTTGTTGTTGTTGTTGTTGTTGTTGTTGTTGTTGTTGTTG